TAAGCATCTAATATGTCGAGGTCTTGTTTTTGCAAAAGTTTTAGTCTAAAGTATCTTAAAATTTTGTGTTAACAGTGAATTTAGACAAATCCTTAGTCTTTGTCATTGTCAGCTGTTACTTTTTAAATTTGTTTCCTTTTAATTTTGTATTTTCCAGGGGGGGGGGTAAGAGGACTACTGCCCCCCCCCCTATGTACGCCACTGAAACTAACGTCAGAAACAATCATATAGTGGGAGAATTGTGCACTTATACTTGTCACATCTTTGCACCCATACAGCTGTGGAATAGGAAGACGACTGATTGACTCAAATTATGATATGAATTAGTCCAAAGAACATTGACCCAGCAACTGTGCAGTGGACCCAGAACCATTACCTTTAACATATTGATTTTCAAGATATTGGTAAACCTTCTTTGCTCTTTTTACAGGGCTACCCACAAAGGATGAAATTGTAAAGACGACCGTAAACTTTTAAAATATGACGATTCCAAGGTTAAATTAAGTCTTTTGCTTTAGATATAGAAATTCAATGGTCTTTCTAATAATTTGGCAAAGAAAGAAATAAGTTTGCAGTTATAAGAAAGTAGACTGTAAAAATTCCGTACAGTTGTCTGTGAAGTCAATCTTTTGTGGGTAACCCTGCACAACATAAAATTCACCTAATTAAGAAATGTCGTCTTCCTACCTCACAATTCTATGGTTCTCGTTGTAGTACGGTCTAGAACAGCCTGTTATTTACATCACTAAATTCTAATATTTTTTTCATGCAAAATGCACAAATTCTTCTCCAGCAATTAGCAATTAAATGTAAAGATAACATTTTTTTAATCTTTCATCTTTTCAAAATTGTTTGAAGAGTTAGCTCGCCTCTTTTCTAAAATTTACAGACCAGCTTGCAAAAAGTCTTGAGGAAGAATGTATCAAGGTTGCAACAGGTTTGCAAAATATCTACCACGCATCCTCAAACATTTGATCTGGGAGAATGCAACAAAAAAACTTGCAACTTCCATCAAGATGAAAACCATGAATAAAAAAAACTACGTTCTTGGAATTTCAGTAATTTAATCATCGCACTTACACACTGCACGAACAGATTTTAAACTTTAAAAATCATGAGTAATGGAAAAAAGTATGTTAGAAAATTTCAACATTTTAAAACTGTTCTTATTCCTTATTCTATTCATATTCTTTGTTTGTCTGTTTGGGTGTTTATTTGTTTGTTAATAAACGATAAACATAAAAATGGCTGAACCAATCGGGCGGACATTTTGTGTGGGACCTCACATGATTCCAGGGAAGGTTTATGGATGGTTAGAAATGAAAAAAGTGCATAAAACATTTTTTATTTTTTAACATTTCCGAAAAAAATCGATAAAAGAGCAACAATTAAGTTAAACTCGAAGATGGGCGGGAAGCACCCTGGATGCCTAGTATAATATATATCTTTTCACCGAACTAGGCTTTCAGGACGCTTTAAATGTTGCTTTTCATGTTTCCTTTTTTCAGACTTTATTAAACAAAAAAGTTGATGGATTTCTAAAATGAAAAAATATAAATCAACATTTAACCAGGCAGTGGGGGATCTTAAACACAATAGAGAGCAGTAGATATGTACATATTAAACTATATTGCTCCTTTAATGTCTAGTGTATGTTTAAAAAAAATAGAAATTATGATAATGATAAGCTGCAATGTTTTACAAAAACGTTTAATTTCTCAAAATATAAAAAATGTTCTCACGCAAAATACGCCTTGATGCTATACGCAGCTGTTTCTATACGTTGGATTTCTATAAAAACTTGGAATTTTGAAGAAAACTTTAGCCGTTTTGACGTTTATTTAAAACTAACAAACAGACACCCAATCTGACAAACCAACAATTGCGCAAATATGCTGTATATGATGGAGACGGCACTGTGTTCCCATTCTTCCCATGTCAATGCATAAAACACATTTCAATGCCTGAATCATAAATAGTGCAAGGGCAAGTTTCAATTCAAAAACTGCATTCTATTTTCCTGCACAGAGATGCAAGATGTGCAACACAGACGTACGTATACGGATATCCATTTAAATATAGGGTCAACGGGGCCAGAGGAGGGGGGGAGCCCCTTTCTCCTTTTGGAAAGAGGTAACCACAAATGCAGTGCTTACTGCTTAGGATCCATTTAATTTTGAT